ATGGGGATACTACAAAATATGTAATGTAACACGAAAGAGATTGGTAAATATAAACAGGTGATGAATTAATGTGGACTGAATACAAAATCAGCAACAGGTATTAAAGAAACACAATGAGGGAATTTGATCATGCAGCAAGAATGCAGATTAGATGAATGGATAAATAGCTAGACAGACATATAGCAATAGCAGTAGACAATATATATATCCAAACACACACACAAAGAACAAATGGGCTGACAGTGAAAAGATGGCTGAGAAATTCATTAAGGAATGGAGTGAAAAGATCCTGAAATACAGAAAAATGATAATGTATGAAGTGGTATATGGACATAATGAAAGCACAGAAGCAAGCATAATATTTAAAGTTAGAAAGATATGGAGCAACTAGTGAATAGCACTGACATATTGTAGTTTTAGCTATATTTCCTTTTCTATTTCTCATCTCATGTCTTGAATTTCCTTGGCTTACTATTTCTTTTCCGTGTACAGTACAATTTTGCTTACCTTAAAAGAGAAATGCCTTAGTATTTAGGTATAAAGCGTTAAAGTAATCCAACAAATTATTTAAATAGTACTACATTGAGACTACCTGTGGTAGAAATTATGTGACTAAGGTACATTAAATGTCTTCTCAGCTATTAAGGCCATTCAAAAGCTACTTTTACAATCACATATAAGCTCAATGATGGCAAGTTAACTCCCATTTTCCAACTATTTTTCCATATTACTTTGATTCCCACAGTATCTAGGAACACTTTGTAGATGATAACCAGCAGCTGGAACCACAGCTAAACGCTTAATGGGACCCAGTGCAGCTGTGGGAAAGTGGTGCTTTATGGGTATGAGAAATGCCAAAAACCTGTCCACATCTGTGCATTCAGGACCAGCTGCAGTTTCCAAGTATTTTAAAAGGACAGTTCCATGTAGAGTATTGGAATCCACGTGGCCCGACAAAACCGCGCTCGTCAAAATAGCGGTGACAAAATCGCGTCGCTAAAGCCGCGACATCATCACCGCGACGTCATCACCGTGGTGACAACAGCGCGGCAACAGAAGGGCTTTAAAACAGTGTGGCGGCAGAAAGCCGATTTAAATTAAGGTAAGGGTTAGGATTAGGTTTAGGGATTTGGTTTAGGGTTAGGTTTAGGTTAAGGGTTAGGATTAGGGTTAGGTTTAGGT